TGGTATTTTGAAACGCAGCTTCTATCGCCAATTTTTACCGGGGGCGGCAAAATGTACATGCATTCACATTTTATTCTATGTGCACCCATCCAACTTACGAACAGATCCTTCTTCTTGGAAATATTCATTCTTCCTTTCAACGTTGCTCAAGTTGGCAGTCACTTTACTTGCCTTGAAACCATTAATTATCGAAAATACAGAAAGGAAACAAAAATTCTCGAAAGAGCTTTGATTAAAATTCGGTGCCATTGGAAAATCGAACGTGGTGGTTTCCTCTTAAACCGGGTATTTCTTTCCAGTAGCATATACAAATGTAATGTCACTCACACTGAACCCATTTTAAGCTTTGCGAATTTTCTCTCAGACGTGTTGTGAAATACAGAAATTATACACGAAATGCAGAAACGCTGTATTTCTGCTCATCGGCGAATATGCACGGTCTAGTTCTCGATGTACTTACTTTGCCATTTCACTTCACACCCAATACGACCCGGAAATAGAGGGAGGGGGCTTAGAGATCAGATGCAAATCGACTTTCACGCTTCGATGAATGGTGCAGTCATAACTCGATTATATACCACTCGCGTTAATTTTAAAAAAAAAAAAAAAAAAAAAAAAAAAAAAAAAAAAAACTTGTCCTCACATGCAAAAATGTACATCCCTTCCACGCTAGCCCTTTTAACGGCGATGCCTCTCTGCTATTTTAAACTTCTCTGATATTGTGGTTGCAAGGATCGCACTGACAAATGGTGAATAAGTTTTTTCAGCGAATTGTCCTTGATTTGAAGAAAATGTTATCAATGCAATTTTTTTTTTTTTTTAAAGGAAACTCATTTTTTTAATTAAAGGGAGCACTTTTCGCGTGATATTTACTTCTTTTATTCGAATAAAGTGGTTTTTAATCAAAGAAAATAAATTATGTCACAATAACAAAGTTACATGTTTTTGAAAAAAAAAAAAAAAAACTTCCACCAGAACGAAAAAAAAATTGCGATAAGAAAAAATGCACGAGAAAATATTTATTTTAGTAAAATTAATTTTCCTTAAATAAAAATGAAGCACAGGATAACTTTCTATGGAACAGATCAATTTATTAAAATTGAAATAAGGTTTCTTTTTTTTTTTAAGTGACGATCACCCCCAAGCCTAATCAAGAGATGAAAACCAATGCTTTTCTGATCATGGTGTTTAGAGCAATACCTATATAATTATTTTATGTCAACGTAGGATTATTTATTGAAATAAAGAGGAGTTGGTGTTGTGTGTATGTCAATAGTCTCTGAGCCACCAAATTTGGTGCTGTGTCCTGATAAAAGTGTAGTACAGACCTGTATTGGTACTGTGTACCAACAAATTAAAGACCACATATAATGGGGGTAGTTGGTGTGGGTCATCAATTTAGTTTCAGCTTACATCAAAAGTTTAGTTGCGTATAGCACTAGTTTGGTCGGTTTACAAAACCAACTGCGTTACCTGGCTTACAATTAATGGTACATCAGCATGCAACTGCAAGGGACCGTTTATAAAATACATACACGTAACGCTATAAATTTTGGATCATTGGTCCCCCTCCCACTCTGGTAACGCTTTCAGGACGTAGGCCCGTATCCTTTGACGTATAAAAACAAAGTAGCGTTACACTCTCTTCGACCCTCTCCTTATAGCCTTTTAAGACACGGAGAATTCACAATTTTTATAGTGCTTCAAGCATTTTTATAGTGCTGAGCCAATTTTTACTCTCTATACCGTCAAAAATCGGAGCAAAATTAATTTCTTTTATTTGTAGCATAAATAAGAACATGATTCCTTCAATGGTATCAATGTAGCGCTCTTGTGACTCAAACTTAAACTTCATTGAAATGGCAAGTCGTTTTGTCACTGCACCTTGAGACTCGCTAAAATAAATGTCACGGGAACTTGAAAGGCCAGAGCGTTACATATTTCATCAACGGGTCTCTTAGTAAGTGTCATGGCTGTGAAAACACAGAACCTGTCTATTTTAGTCCATTCTTTCTTATTGCAGATCTGACGGGGGCTGGCGGGAGTGGTCAAGATCACCCAGAAGATTCAGAAAACTCAGCCAGGTGTTCGAAACATTCGATACGACCGTTCTTGCTCATCCTTTGTCTTCTCTACGTTTCGAGGTTTTTGAGCAGCAGATGAGACATCCTGCAATTCGCTCCTGTACTATATAAGCATCTCTGTCATCAGGGTTTTCCGTAATTTCGTCCGGGCCCGGTCATGGCATTATCAAATGGACGATTTCAAAGCAAAAGAGACTGTATCCATTCTGACTAGGGCAGTTTGGCCCTGGGATTCAAAAGAAGACGTGTGTGAGACAGGACTCATATCACAATTATGAATAATGCGTTGAATGCTCTATGTATTCGGCGTCGTTATGCTAGGCCTAACATTGGTGCTGATATGATAGGGATCCGGAAAGCGCAGAATTGGTAGCAGCATTAGGATATAGATTGGATCGAGTCAGTGACGCACAGAAAGGCGCACTGTTAAAAATTAGTCGAATCTGAAGTTAACTCGGGAAGCAATAAAATAATTATATTAACTTCCATTGCGAACGCACACATCCCTCATCGAAGCAGATTGACCCCACGAATTAACAAAAGATACGATGAAATTAGAATATTTTTGACTTTGTTTTGCAATTAAAAATTATAATTTTTGGATCATCCTTGAAACACTTATGTGTATTGAGAAACAAATGGTACATACGTTGTTTCTAAACTGAGCCAGAAATTGTAGTTCCGAATTGCAAAGTAGGGTCCATTTGTGGAAAAGTCAAGCAAAAAGCAAAATATGATTAAAGTTGAAATCACAGCTTAAAGGGATTTTTTCTGTATAGTTTATGGCAACATGAGCACCCAAAAATTTCAAAAAATCGACTTTTTAGCTGCAGTTGAAAGTTTGAGGATGGAATACGGAAAATCCGAGAAAAACTCTATCGAAGATTGTCATAACTGTTGCCAAATTTTAGAATGATTCAGCTCAAACGCCCATTTCAACATTGAAAACGCGAATAATGGCTTGAAACTCTGACTTTGAAAGGTGTCTGGTAGGCATGTTGCGAAAGCGCAATTGAGGCAAAGGATACAAGATAGACACTTTTAAACTTCCATGTTTTACGATCTTTTTTTGGAATTTTCTCCTTTTTAGAGAATCAAAAATATTTTCCGTTACTTAATAATTTTTGTGAATATACTACCCAGCTTTAAGACATAAGGAAGAACACTCAAGCAATGGACCTCTAGACTAGGTGAGAAATAAAAATAAAAATCCATACATATCTTGGACATTTCATGCACAATACGGTAAGCGCATTGAGCATCTCAAATTCAATTTGTTTGAGAGAAATTAGCATTTTCCGCGTTTTTACGCTCAAAAAGAAACCAAAGTTTTTTACTCTTACATTCTCACTCTGTTTAGTAGTGCATTTTAAAGTACCTGATTAATATCATATATTCCACGATTTAAATTCCTTTAATTTTCGTTTAGACTTGGTTATAGGCTGTTGATGTTGCAACATTCATGTTCGAATCTATGAGTCTAAGGAAGTTAAACATTTGGCCTGAAGCCTAAGTCGCCCATGTAAGTGTAACAAAGAGTAAAACTTTGGAGAAATATTTAAAACTAGGGGTGCGCCCTCTGACCGTTTCACGGCCAAGCACTCCGAAGTGATTCACGCATCAAGCGTTATGCGGTACTCTAATGATTTTACATTATAGAGTAAGAAAGATAGGAAGAAGAAGACACCCTCCTGATAAACATGTTTTTGGGGACCAGTACCATGGGCTTGTATCCTCAATATCATTAACTCCAATTATGCTGATACCAGTGTAATCCTGCCAGATTTGCCGTCATGGGTGAGATCTTTTGAGGGATTTTCCCCTTCAACCAACTTTTAAAAACTTCCTACTTCTATTATTTTTCTTTGGTAACTTGATTTACTTTAAGTGAAATAAACTTAAATGTGATATGTGTTATTCGTGATAAATATTTAATGATTAATTTTATCGTGTGTTACTTTACCGGGTCTTTTTTATTACATTGTGGGGATAGAGACTTAGATATAATATGAATAAATTTACTACGAAAATGTAGGGGCTCGAAATGACGTTCAATGCAGTTAAATAGAAAGCATAATACTTTTAGGTGGAAAACATGTTTCTGTAAGTAGAGCATTTTCGGACTAAATTTTTCAGTTTCTAATTGAACTGGTCATGTAACTTTCATCTCGAAATTTTCTTAATACGTCTTCATATCGTGATGAATTTTGAAATATTCAAATTGTAAATAAATCTCTGTTATTATTAAACTTCTTGTCTCATTTTATAGCATAGTTTTGGGCATCTCAACCACTTGGAGACCGATTTAATTTTTCGATTTCAATGTAGTTAGTACTATTTGCACTTTGAACGCTAGGAACCTCAGAAATCGTAAAGAAAGAGATTCTGCTCGCTACGAGTAGTTGGTAGAATCTTATTTTCTTTTTTTTGAAAAATATAAATCAAGGAAATCAACGCTGTGGAATAAGATATTTCCATTAGTTTATTCAATTCTAATCTTTACCCAAAAAATAGCTCCATCACGAGGATCTAAACAGATCTTTTTGAGTTTTCTTACCTTCTTAACGTTAACATGTGCAACTAGAAGCAAATAAAAAACATTTAAAAATCTTCAGAATTATTTTCCGTTACAAGACTAAGGAATACTTTCATAAAAAATTTTTTTGATCACTTATAAAATAATATTTCACCACGAACTTCTAATAAGAATTCGATAAAATCTTAAAATTACCGTTGCGTTCAGACAATTTTTCACGTAAAAGGGTAAAAGTTTTTTTTCAGGATTCAACTGGTGCGGTTCAGTTAAAAAACTTGTCAAATGACCCTAGGATTAGATGGGACTTTTTGACGAAATGTTATCACATTTCGTCGCTCTTCTGGCTTCAGGGCGCACGGTGGATCGGTTTAATAGGAGAGGTCGGACAAAATTTGTAAACTTTAAACGCTTATAACTCCGTTTATATAAACTTTAGGATTCTAAAATTGATTCCATTGCTTTTCTCGTGAAATGAACTTTACTTCGCACCCCTTGAACTTTAAAATAAGACAAAAAAAACTTTATTTGGAGTTTTAGTCAAAAAATGTCCGACCTCTCTGATTATCTCGATCCACTGTGCGGCGTATATCGATTCCCGAATGCATAACAGCGGTTTGATTATTGAAATTGATAGACAAAGCGATGGACAAAAAGGACACAGGGAGTATGGAGCGATCCTATTGGTTGAAATGTGTGGTTCCCATAGACTAAGGGAGAAAATAATGAACTAACTGTCGGGTTTCTCGTGGATTGTCTTTAGTTAGTCTATTACCTACTGCCTTTGTCCATTGCAACCACCCGCTTCCGCCAATAGGATCCCTCCACACCCATTTTGTTTTCTTTGTCTATAGCTTTGTCTATCAACTTCAATAATCGGCCCGCAGAGCTCATTTGGACATTGGAATACGCCCTTACGCCATAGACACGTGCCTTAGAAGAACATTTTTGAAACTGACTCAGGAGAGAAGAAAACTCCAACCCATGTTTGTTTCTATTTGATTCTCATGAAACAATCATGAAAGAATAGATTTGCTTTGTCCTAAATTATTGTCCTTTTCTTCTGAAGTCCGAGGCAATGCTTAAAAATTAATAAAATCATACTCCCGGTCCAGGTACAACGTAACAATTAGTTGTGATGTAGATTCGTTCCACTGTGCTTTGCATATCTTATGGTGCACAGGATGGGGCAGAGGAAGAGCCAATCGGTATCTGGGTGACCTGACGTCCATGTGTTGTTTTTTCACATCGCAGCATATCTCAGATGAGAGCTCTCCCGGCATGTCAATTTTCAGTACCATTGCTTCGCAGCTAGCCGAGGCGGGGGTTTTCGGTCCAATCTGTTTTCATGCGGTTCAATTGAAAATGCTATCAATGTAATGAAGTATTTGTACCAATGCTACGATAGATATCATTCGAACTAAGTAAATTAAAATAAATTATTACACGAATAAAATCATGCCCGAGAATGTATAACTGATTTTGCCTGACAATTGCATTTTAGCGGCTCTGGTGCTTGCACTAGAGCTGCTATTCCGGACGGTCCCAGCTGGGGAGTATCATTGGACCATGTTACATTGGAGAGACCGCGCGTTGGTTAATGGGAATCGGCGCCATTTTCGGCTATGTTCCTTGTCATGACTTTATTTTATTGCATATTGTTTTATTGTTAGCCAATGCTATGTTGTGTAGTGTATTTTTGGAATCGTGGTGATACAGTCAATAATTCAAAACTTGTCTGTGCTTTAATCTCGTGATGGAAAAAATGTACTTTACGTTCAAAATTTGAAAATTTGAATTTTAAAGTTTTCGCGGTTAAGGAAGCTCCAACCACTGGGTTGGAGCTTCCTAGTCATATTACTCGATATCAGCTGATAGCAAACAAAGGTTACCAAGGAAACCGTAAACGTCTAATGCCGTCTGCCCACGTAGCAAATGGGAGGCGAAAATGGAAGTCATCAGTGCATCGTTGAGTGTTGACGCCCGATCCCATTTTCAGACATGTTCACACGTTTTGCTTGCAAAGAAAAAAGGCGGCAAATCAATTTTTATTATTGGACCAATGAGTGTTCTCCAATTTGAGTTTGTAAACATCGTGGTTTCTAGGTTAGGTTTTTGGCTGTGTGATAAATGATATTATGCCGTCTTTGATTTTGTTAAAATGACTCGATATATGTTATTTGATAAACGATTGGAGTTTTGATAAAGTAAGTTGATTTGAATTAAAAATTGTGTCCTTAAAAAATGGATGATGAGGTGATTTGGTTAACATGGGCATTTGTGGTACTTGCGGCGTATTGGGAGTTTGTATGGAAACGACGTGGCAGTAGTCCACACTTTTTACAAGAAACTATTTTGTACAAAGTTCTGTACAAATTTTACACTATTTATACAGTAATATAATACAAAAAAATTATGTACTTTATCACAACTCACATAGCTTCAAAACAAGATAGAAAATGATGGATGCTCAGCCCCGACACATCGATGATCGCGAAATTTGCGCGGCCCGCGCAATTTTCACGTTCAACACTCACCGATGCACTGATGACTTCCATTTTCGCCTCCCATTTGCTACGTGGGCAGACGGCACACAACTACCGTGGCCATCGGGGCGATTATTGAAATGACATCGACTCTATGTCGCCGCTTACGACAAGACATATAGCCCTATCTTAACCGTGTAATATATCGCAATTCGATATTCAAAACCATTACCTACAATTTCAGATATAAAAATGCAAATTTTTTGCAGCCTCGCTAAACGACTTATCAACCATGCATTCCAAAGTTTCTTATCACAGGGCTGTGAAAATATACAATCTAATAAATACAAAATAACCAAATATCTAAAAAGACAAAATTTCAGTTACAGTCAGTTTCAGTCTTATTGTTGCACAAACTAGTTATTTGACAAAAAAAGAAGATGATCACTCAATTGAAAGAAATTGGCGCCCAATCACAACGACAAGTTAAAAAAAATACTGTGGGAGAAATTTTTTAGGATGCGGACCTCCAAAGAGCCTTCAAAATTAAAAGTATACAACAAGTGATAGTGCCATGCATTCTGCATATCAAGGGCCAATACACATTTATACACCGGCTACGTAAATCTGCTAAGTTACAAAACATGAATCGACAGTTGTCGGATTGTACATCAGTGACAAAATGTGTCTAGGCCCTCATTCTTGACTACAACTACTGTCGCCAGAGCCGCTCTCCGACGCGAATGCGTTGGAGCTTCCTGCTTGTTTTAAAATGAGATCCAATTTTGTTTTTCCACGGGAGGGGTGCATGGCTAATTTAATGATTGCACTCCAAGCAAAGAAAAGAAGTGCAAAAGACCTGAAAGTCTCTGATTTCCGCAGACTTATCTTAGTGTTGTCAGGAAGCTAAACATGATGACGACCACAGACATTTTTCGAATCTTCATGTAGCATCCTGAGATCTTATGGTGAAAATATATAAAATTCGATTACTAATTTGGATTGCACTTTGCGTAAAGGAACTGAGAGCATTCCAATGTCGCTAAGATTGTACAACTTTTTTACCTTGCAAATATAAACTGATTAGCTAAACAAGTTTTATCTTTACTCCCAATAAACTATGAATTCGTGACAAATATTACCTTTGTAAATTTGATTTTTTTCAAAGAATGTAAGTTGAACAATCCCAGCAACGTTGAAATGCTCTTCGTTCCGTTTTTCAAAATGCAATTCATCTATGCTTATAGTAAGGTGATAAAAAAGTGATGGGTCCACACTATGGAGCTCAACATTTTTACTCTAATTGAAATTTTTGGTCTTGTTTTCCCCGCAAAATAGCGTGGGTCTAGCAGTATTTTACAATCTTGATACACACAGTTCGAACCACATTTTTTAATGTTCGTTTCTCATTCTATGATTGTATCATGACTTTTGGAGAAATCGTAATTATTGTTTTAAATTGCTAAAAAAAAAAAAAAAAAAAAAAAAAAAACTTGATAGGTATTTAATTTTGTGAATACCTGCAAAAAAATATCCTCTGGTGTAACTGACTGCTGGTAAATAATATCGTACGCAGGTTTTTCTCGAGGATCCTCATGTGGGTCATACGGGACTTTTTGCAAAGCAAGCTCGTCCTCTCGCCAAATACAATCAGACTCCTTTAAGAGCTCCCTTTGGCTGTGATTGTGTTCTTGATTGCTGGTACTAATCGATACTTTCGTGCCAATACTACCCGGTCCTAGAAATATGAAATTTAGTTCACCTTGCGTTGCAATCTATCGATGAAATATCTGCTTAGCGCTGATCAAAGTTGTAATATGGGTTACATCATTATTCTCATTATCATCATCATTGTAAAAATGACTTATCAATGACTTGGGATTAATATATTTGATCCTTGACTGTCATTATAATTAGTCTTTAACGATAGAAAAAATGCAACGGCAAAAACGGCAGAAAAATGCATCAGTGTCGTGGCGTGCTTTGCGATATGTCGATTGATCTACCTTTCAAACCTTTGGTAAAAGATGAATAACCAGAGTGATCGCAACGAACACCTTAATGATGGATTCTTCACCACAACTTCAAATGGGGAAGTATCGATAATCGCTCATTCTCGCCTCGCCACTGAAATGCATTCACCTGAGACTAGTCAGGGGCATTTTCATTTACTTATTATAATCATCACTGATATTGATTTTATTGCATGAGCAAGTACTGGTACTAACTGACAGAGGAAACTTTTGTAATAAAGGTACATTTTTTCAGCAAGAGGGTAAGTCAGGTGCTTGGACATCACCAAAGAGAGTTCAAAGCCAAAAAATACAAAACTAAAAATGAGAACTTCAAGACGCATGTTTCGTTATTCTCGTCGTGTGTTTAATAACAATGTTCTGCAGCATGTAACGTTCCGATAGAATCATATTTAGAGTATTTATTTATGTGCTGATGAAAGAATAAGATCTCACCTTTACTCTCATCATTCCAAAATGGGTCAGTAACGTTGGTCACAGAATCGTGTTTTGATGTTTGGTTTTTGAGGATCAGTTAAAAGTAATGAGATCAAGCCAAACATCAACTCTACGTTTCACACTAACCAAGACATCGCGTCTCGAAAAAGTAATTCAATGACGTCATCCACTGCGGTAATGACACTCTTGGTTTCTTCCATTTTGCTTTCATTTGTCAGGGAGACACATGTTTTCACTGGCTATAGTCAACGTAAAACTCGGATGAAAGAAAGGTGGAAGAAACCAAGTATGTCACTACCGCGTTGGATGACATCATAGACCAAATTTTTCAAAGCACGATATCTCGCGGTTAATACTGAACTTAGAGAGTTGGTGTTTAGACAGATTTTATTAATTTTTAGCTGATCTATAAGAATCAAACATTAAAACACAATTCTGTGACGAGCGCAACTGACCCATTCTAAATCAAAATCACCATGCAATAATAGTGAATAGGACGGAATTAACGTGCTAAACTCTTGCATGCAACTATTACTGCCCTTGAGCGGGTAAAATTGCCTAATCAGTTTATTGAAGGCGAACTCACCTAGTTTGGTCAGACCACTAGGCGGCAAGTCATCCTCACTACTTGAGTCTTCCTCAGGCGGAGGTTTTAGTAAATTAGCTAAATCCTGTATGTTGAAGGCATCCATTCCTTTGAAACTGTTTGCTTGAACGTTATCAAAGAGATGAAAAGTCAACGCGTTGTTGAGTGGTTGTCATAACAACTCGTGGCTTGCATGCCCATAATGACGGCATCCGACCCGGCTCATTGGAAGCCTGGCTCTTACTGAGTAATACATTTTCTCAATATTTCGTTCTCTCTCTTCCACTCCTTCTTCCTCCTTTTTCGTATCTATTTTGGTAACCTAATTAATTTACGAAAGGGTGCATATTTCCTCTTTATGCTCTCTAGAATAAGATCATAAAATTTTCTCGTCAATCACAACTCTCTATGAAATATTTCAATACCAGGTTACAAATCGTAACGTAATAAACAGACGATATTTTTATCATTACACCACTATTTTATCCCAATTTTGTACTTGTATCTATTACATTGTATTACATTTCATTCATTACAAATTTTGCGCGGACTTCGAAAGAAAATATTCTGTATTTAATGTGTACGTAGAATATAAGAGAGAGCTATACTTTGACAATACAGCAAAAAATCTTACAAGCAAATGGACCAAACTGGTCGTTTGCCTGCAGATACTATGTAGAACCACAGAGAAAAAAAATAACTCACCTTGACACTGCTCATAGTGGATTTTAGGTCCCGCTTATTTTTCTTTTAATACTTACAGTAATTGGTAGCAATTATTTGGTGATGGTCGCCCGGTAAAATGCAGTATTGCTATTGGGACTAAACAATTTTTTACGACAAAAGTAACATCGCAACTGCAACTAGAATAGTAGATGGTACCTAGAATCTACTATGAGCACCGTGAGGGCAACGGTTCTTTTTCTCAAAGTGATGACCAAGATCGGGGAATCAACGGAATAAAATCAATGCGAAGGATGATTTATAGTACTACTATATGTATAAAAATTTTAATGAGAAAAATATCTGACAGTGATACTGTGATGGATAAATTTACACATTCATATAAGTGAAAAATTGCTACAGAAACATGAGTATAATTATGTATATCCTCCAATAAAACAAACACAAGGCCTATGCTATGGAAGTACCCACCCACGCTAAAAACTCCTTCAATTCCTGCGAACGCAAAATGTGCTACGAAAAAGTGGAATCATCTTCTGCGCGACGTTTTTGGACTGACTACAACAGAAAAGGACCAACACGTGCTCCTAATAAAAACAAGTTATGATTAATTCAGTAAGTTATGATTGTTGAAATAGTACATTACATTCTCTTGCTTTGAAATTAAAGCCCCGGAATGGTTTGCAGTATTTAAAATATGCACCTAAAATTAAGTTTTTACCCTTATTTATGGAGGAAAAAAACGTTACACCCCTTTTTCTGTCATAAGTTATAGCGTGACTAGATTCCTTTTGGTTGAATTCCATTAATTTGTTGGGCACACGAGCTCTTTGCTGCCCATGAAAATATTTTTAAAATTTCCAAGTGCCAAGAGATCGCACTCAGAAAACAAAAACCGATTACAAATTCTCTAGAAAATTATTAAAATTATTTAAAATATTGAGCTGAAAGCGGGAAGTGCATGAATAACGCACGATGAGTACTTTTTTATGTAGGCACGAACATATGCCTAAAACCAGCGTAGTAGCATTTGCGTAGCCATCGGGTCAGATCAAAGAAAGCAGAGAGGGGTAATGATCTTGACCGGGTCCATAATTGAATTAGTTGGAACGAAAACACACCAACTCGAAAAAATGAAAATAATCAAGACGCACGCAAAATTGCTCAGTAGTTGAAGAAGTTAGTGCAAGAAAGAGATTTTCGGTGCCGAAAGACAAGTACTGAGGGACACTTTAAAGGTCCAAGTTGGAACAGATGCGTTAACTTCACTTACCTTTATGAAAACTGACTCTCTTTGATGAGTATTGAGCATTTTTGAGTTACCGAGTTGGTTTGTTTTCGTTCTCACTGGTTCAATTACCAACGATCTTCGATTGGAAAATAAAGACTACAAAATCGAAAAAGAAAATAAACAGGAAAAAAACATAGACGTATTGTGAATTCTGATGTTTAAATCTCGACGCGAGAAACGGTTGGTTGGAAAGAAAAAAGATACTATAAAACTCTAGCAGTCTTAAACTAAAGGGTACAATAGGACAGTCATTTTCAAACGTTGGAGATTCAAAGTACTTCCTCCGAATGGGGCTTCTTCTTCTTAGGTTTTTTCTTTTTTGGTTTTTTCGTAGGTTTCGGGCCGCCATTTCCACCTCCACTTCCGCCAGAACCGCCTCCGCCTCCACCTCCGCCTCCACCTCCGCCACTGTTGTCGTCACATCCATACATTTTCCTTATTTTCTTAATATCTCTGTCGCTTAAGCCTTCTCGTTGACCCATCTGGACACCCGGGGTCTATATCAGAAACATTTGAGAAAAAAAATTAAAAAATTATCTTGATACGTGAATGTGCAACTTTCAAAACCATTAAAAAACCTAATAGGTCTGTTGCGCGTATGAGATACAACCAAATAAATATACCTACTCTTTCCGGATAAAAGCACACTATCAATAAAGACTGAAATCCACTCCTTAGCACGAAAAATGCATATCGACGATGTAAGTCGGCAATCACATAACTCGGTTTGCGACTTCGCAGACTTCCTGTCATACTTTATTTTATAGCTGGAAACCTACTCAACGGCAACTCTTTAAACCTGCCGTGATTTTCCTTCTCCGTGCGAAGAAAATTCTGCAAAAACTTCAAGGAATGCTGTCACTTTGTTCTCCTCAAAAAAATATCATAGAGGCGGAGATTTTCAGACATCGCAAACAAGATATGTGATTGCGGACTTATTACGCCGTCGATATAGTTTGTAACACGCTTTCTCGAATTTCTCGTGTCTGCGAGCAGTTTTTCTCAAGGCCTAAATACACACGGCGATTAATTGCCGCGATTAAAAGACGAAAGGAATTCCGGGAAAGGACCCGGAAGTTGGTGGAGGAGTACCGCAAATGGGGCCTCGAGGTTAGTGTCCGTAAGACAAAAAAGATGTCAGTCGGAGGTGCTCAGCAAAGCATAGTCCTGGAGGATGGTCAACATATAGAAAGTTGCGAACAATACAAGTACCTGGGGGTGAAGCTGACTTCGGATGGGAAGCTGGATCAGGCCATTCGGGACCGTAATCTTCTAGGAAGGAAAGCCATCGCCATGCTTAATGGGATCCTTTGGGACCAAAGGATTTCCAAAGACAACAAGAAGAGAATTTATAACTCGGTTGTCAAGCCTATTATCACCTATGGCAGTGAAGTGTGGCAGTTGAAGAAGCGGACCCAAGAAATGCTCAAGGCGACCGAGATGGATTTCTGGCGAAGATCGGCTGGAATCTCGAGGAGAGAACGTGTCAGGAATGAACGTGTCCGAGAGATAATGGGCGTTGAGGGGACGATTGTGCACGATATCATGACCAAGCAATTGGTATGGTATGGGCATGTGCAGAGAATGGCTGATACCAGGTTGCCGAAGAAGGTGTTGGAGTGGGTCCCCCCAGGTAGGCGACGGAGAGGGCGTCCAGCCAAACGGTGGGTAGAGGGCATCCATGAAGAGATGGCGAGATGCCACCTTCCGGAGGATCTCTACCATGACAGATTCCTGTGGAGAATAGGCGTCGCAGAGCACCCTAGCGCGCCGTAAAAGCGGCTCATACATACATACACATAAAAGACGAAAGCCAATGGAGAGCCTGGATTTCGATCTATTGACGTCGATATATCGAAATCCCTCTCCATTGGCTTTCGTTTCAATCGCGGTGATTAATCACCGTGTGTATTTAGGCCTTCAGTCACCGCCGACCAGGTTTGCACGGACAGCGGAGTAAAAAAAACGAACCTGAGTAAACAAACCATTCCTCTAATTTTTCTACTCTATGACTATGAGTTCAATTGTTCTTAAGCGCGTGTATTCGTTTTTTCTTTATTTTAAAAAAGAAAGGCTTTGAATCAATTGAATTCCCTGGTAAAAATTGGCAATAGGAGCTGCGTTTCAAAATACCATAGGAGTTCTTACAGCCGACTGAAGAAGGCGATAGGAAATCTGGCTGTAGAAAGTGGAAAAAATCATAAGGCCGGGCTACACGAAGCGATAAAAAATTATACAGCCGGGCTATAGATCCTATTGCCGGGCTTTACACTTTATCGCCTGGCTGTTGCTTTTTCGCCATCGGCTATAAAAAATTGTGTAGAAATTCGTGTGCTTTGTAAATCCTTTAGTTTGTACGGAATCACCTTAATATTTACAAAATGCACGTTATATTTTCCTTTAATACATATTTTTTTCATCAATGAAAATGAGAATAATCCATAAAGAGTGTGCAAACATTTCAAAGTCATGAGTTGAAAAACGCTGACTCCACGAGATTAAATATTAGAGCCTAACACAAAGCGAAGCGGCGGCGCACTGGCGCCTACAAACCTAACAGGGATACTTCGCGCATTGCGCAATGCGTGAAGTATCCCTGTTAGGTTTGTAGGCACCAATGCGCCTTTCTCGCTGGCTGCCCGCCCGCCGCGCCGCGCCGTAGCGTACTACGGCGCTATAGAAGCAACTATCTCACACCAGAGGTATTGCACAGTATCATACGACATTGAAGGCGCTCCAACATTTTAGGAATGGCAGGCATCCTTCAAAAGTAAGGAGCTTTCCTCGCAAAATAAATCAAGATACTACGGCCCAAAAAGAGACCGGTAGTCCGAAAACTCACTAAGTCCTAGCATCCGTAATTAGTAACGTTTAGCATACACTTTATCGCCAGGCTGTTGCTCAATCGCCATCGGCTATAAATGGCTATAAGAAATTGTGATGCCGACTATAGAAGCTATTGGAAATCTTATAGCCGGCTGTAGGGCTATGGTATTTTGGAACACAGATTCTACTGCCAATTTTTACCAGGGTTCGTACAGAGGAGAGTTCATAACAGTTCGCGAGATTGTTTGTTTATTTAAGTTAGATCTCTCCGGGCAAACCTGACTGCCGGCCACCAGGAAAAACTGCTTGCATACGCGGTAAATTTGAAAAAGCGTGATACAAACGACGTAGATTGCGCGCTAAGGAGTGGATTTCAGACTTTTTTGATGTAACCAACGTGATTACCAAGTGAATTTACCTTTGGAAAATATATTTTGTTGGCTGTATCTCTTGCGCGCAACAGACCCATTATATATGATCATCATTTTGATTGGATAATTTATACTACCTTTAGGTTTCAGCCAGTAACATGTTTTTCAACCACTCTCATTTTTTAACAGTATCAGCTTAGGATGATTCACCTAGTTTCATTAAAAACTTAATTTTACCATGTTAGTTGGATGAAGCATAGCCTCTGATTATTTTCATTATTTTTTTTAAAATTGTATGGTGCGAATTGTTTTCTACGACAGATTTTAAGGGAGAAGATGCGTCAGTTCAATGTTTGTATAATTGCTAGTGATTCGATTCCTAGACAGTTAGATAGGAGCTCTCCTACACAGGTATCATCATCAGGTTTGTCATGATTTAGATTCCAGACGTGTCATTCTAATCGTGCTACAAAAAACTGTTAATGCATACCAATCCAAGGGTTTTTGGTCGAAATGACGATATCGCGGTTGAGAGGAAATCCTGCGCTGAAAATCGCAATTACATGGAATGACATTGACATGCTAATGCTACCAGGCACGTTGATGCCTCGTGGTACAAGCGTGTTACGCCGATAATTTAAATTTCGTCTCGTCATCAAAACAGGAATTGCGGTAAAACGGTTAAAATACGCACTATGAATGCGTCCCACACTATTAAAGGCCTTTTCCATGAATGTGTGGAAGAATTTTTCTTGAGAGGTTTACGCTGATAGTCGAAGGACGCTTAAAATTCTGATTCGCAAAAAATCAAAAAGCATGTAAAAAATTGTTGATCCCGAATTTTTACGTCTCATTTTCCGCCAAATTTCGAAAAATCACGACTATTGACAACTTAATTGGTCCGATGCACGCAAAGTACACGGAGAAAAAAACTTCGTGCGTGGGACCCGAAGTTTAGGTCATATGGATCTCTGAAGTTTTCGGATTGAGCATCTGAACACTTTAGACCTAGCTGTCGAGGTTCGGATCACACATCTGAAACTTCAGTTCTTACATCTGAAGTACTTCGGTTTTGAAAAACTTCGGTAAAGACTGAAGTTTCAGATGTATGATCCGAACCTTGACAGCTAGATCTGAAGTGTTTAGATGCTCAATGTGGAAACTTCAGAGATCCATATGACCTAAACTTCAGGTCCCACGCACGAGGTTTTTTTCTCCGTGTATTACGTACCATAGCTTTCCGTAGATGAAATCGCACGAAAGCCATATGATAAGCATATAAAGAGAGTCTAAATCGACTACTTAGCGTACAATCTGGGTAATTTTTAATACGGCATTTCCAAATTTCTTGGGTCGCAGGTAATTTTCCTTGGTAACAGGCAATCAGATTACGTTACCTTTCGAAGAAAGTATTACAAGCGGCGAAAGTATCTTAGACGCTATGTTATGCTGGACATCAAGATACTATTTCAATTTTGTCTCTGAAACTTTTGCATCTACTATTATGAAAATGTCAGGGATTGATCTTGATGATGGAAAAAAGTGGAAAACAAAGGAATGTAAAAGCAGCCCGAAACGGAAACGACAATGCGGAAACAAGGCTAAAATACAAAATACAAAGGCAGGACGTTTCGGTACCTCACGACACCATTATCAACTGCTAAAATAGAATTAATAAGAAAAATGAAATTAAAATAAAAATCAGCTAACGGCGTTACATGGTGAAATTGGTATTGAAATGAGACGCAATTTATATTGAAATGAATCTCATTTCAATACCAATTTCATCATGTAACGCCGTTTGCTGATTTTTATTTTAATTTCATTTTTATTTTAAATTCTATTTTAGCAGTTGATAATGGTGCCGTAAGGTACCGAAACGTCCTGCCTTTGTATTTTGTATTTTAGCCTTGTTTCCGCATTTTCCTGTGTTTTCGATTGACGGAAAAAATACTAGGTAAACTGTTCAAGGTGTTCAAGAGTGTCAAGTAAATGACTCGTGACTCACTCTAGACTGAATAGTTGGTTGTCCGTTCCGTGAAAAAGCGTTTGCCGAATAATGCATGACACTCTGGTAGTCGTAACCTACGCCAAGCGAGTCAACAGCCGATGTAGAGGCTTTATCGAAGTTGTTTTCTCGTCCTGAAAGTTAAAGCAAACATTAGGGGCACAAATGCCCTGAAATTAATAAGATTCCACTCAAACACGGGTTACTTAACTCGGCTCTGGACGTTAAATTCCGTGTTTGTAGCTGATTTCCTCAATTTATATCATTTAGATGTTTTATTTCACACAAATTAGTTTCTTTATCAATAATGCCACTATGCGTGGGCTTATTGTGCGGCGCAAGAGGAATTTAACTAGAGCCGGAATTCTGCGAAGGAAAGAATGCTGAAAGAAGCCATGACTAGGGAATTGAGAATTTGCAGGTGTTTTAAAGAGCCTCGCCAAAAAGTGGTGTTTTTTCGCCCCTTTTTTTATACCTGAGTTGGTCAACCGGACAGTGCTCAAATGAAAGCCTATGGTAAGGCAAACTTCCATGCAAAGTTTCAACTTGAAGTGACCCCTGGTTTAGGCTGTACAGCGTTGCCAATTTTCCAGTTTCATGTGCTAAAATCAAGGATATTGGACTATTAGTCCGGTGCATAAGTAGACTAGTACACCCAAGTTGGTCAACAGGACAGGGCTCAAACGAAAGCTTATTTATGGTAAGGCAAACTTCTGGGAAAAGTTTCAACTTGAAATGAAACCTCGTTTAGGCTGTACAGCGTTGCCAATTTTCCATTTTTATGCGCTAAACTCACGAAATACTGAATCGTCATGGTTCAACAGACTATTATACCCGAGTTGGTCAACGAGACAAGGCTCAAACGAAAGCTTATGGTAAGGCATACTTCCAGGAAAAGTTTCAACTTGAAGTGAAAACTCGTTTAGGCTGTACAGCGTCGCCAATTTTCCATTTTTATGCGCTAAACTCACGAAATACTGAATCATCATGGTTCAACGGACTAGTATACCCGAGTTGGTCAACGAGACAGGGCTCAAACGAAAGCTTATGGTGAGGCAAACTTCCGGGAAAAGTTTCAACTTGAAGTGAAACCTCGTTTAGGCTGTACAGCGTTGCCAATTTTCCATTTTTATGTGCCAAAATGAAGAAATTCGGGACTAATAGTCCAATGCATCATAATTAAACAAACTAGTTCATTGGTCTACGAGCTGAATACTACCCTGAGATCGAATAGAAGCGCAACTAAAGGCCATCGTAAACTTTTCGAAGCAGTGTTGCCAATTTATTATTAATTTTTTTAACATAAAATTAGGGGTTTTCCGAGATTTTTGGGGGAAAACGTACCTTCATGGGCTATAACTTTGATGAGTATGGGCTAAACATTACGACTCGATAGTAAATGAACGCTACAGACGGAGAAAATTGAATTCCGAACGCAATGATTCAGTATTTCGTGAGTTTAGCGCATAAAAATGGAAAATTGACAACGCTGTACAGTCTAAACGAGGTTTCACTTCAAGTTGAAACTTTTCCCAGAAGTTTGCCTTACCATAAGCTTTCGTTTGAGCCCTGTCCCGTTGACCAACTTGGGTGTACTAGTTTACTTATGCACCGGACGAATAGTCCAATATCCTTGATGTTAGCACATGAAACTGGAAAATTGGCAACGCTGTACAGCCTAAACCAGGGGTCACTTCAAGTTGAAACTTTGCATGGAAGTTTGCCTTACCATAGGCTTTCATTTGAGCACTGTCCGGTTGACCAACTCGGGTATAAAAAAAAAGGGGCGAAACTTGGCGAGGCTCTTTTGTGAATTTCATCTTTAAAATGATACTTCTAGGAAAACTGAGTAAGAGGATATCGTCGGTTTCTAAATTGAATAATTAGTGGAGAAAATATCACAAAATAACCTAATCTGCTAAAATACGTGTGTATGCGTGGAAAATGCCGCCAGATGACGTCATCTCGCGGCACATTTTTTCATTTTTAAATCGATTTTTCTCCAATTTCCCATGCCAGACAAAAATTATGAAAAATACCGCGAACTCATTAGGTGCGCTCATTAGGTACTCTCAGATGGAGCAATAAAATTTTTGTGTGCAAATTCTCCATTATTAAAACAATGGAGAATTTACATGCAAATTTTGTATTGCTTCATTTGAAAGTGCTTAAATAAAAAGCTGATTTCACAGTGTTTTTCATATAATTTGTTTTTGATATGGGAAATACACTGGAAAAAACACACATTGGATCTAGAGTCCAGACTCTTGAAAACATTGACAAGAAAAAATACTCTTGATTCAAATCAGATTTAAGCTTAAATCAAAGGAAATCCGCTCAAATTAAGAGACTTGGTCCTTAATTTAACCAAAAATCCGATTGAATCAAGAGTATTTTTTCTTGTCGATGTTTTTAAGAGTCCGGACTCTAGATCCAATGTGTTTTTTTTTTCCAGTGAGTATAAAAATAGATTTAAAAGTATGAGAAACTACACCGCATAGTGACGTCATCTGGCGACACCACCCAGTTAAATACACGTATTTTAGCAGATTATATAATTTTGTCACATCTTCTCCAATAATTGTTCAATCTATGAACCAAGGCTATCCTCGCGTTCAGTTCACTCAGTAGTTTCCACTTAAACACGAAATTCATCAAATTTCAAACAAATCGACGGTGAAAGTCGGCAATCAAATAACTCGGTTTGCGACGTCGCAGACTTCCTGTCATACTTTATTTTTTAAACGGAAAACTACTCAACGGCAATTCTTTAAAACTTCCGTGATTTTTCTTCTCTGTGCGAAGAAAATTCTGCATAAATTTCAAGTAATGATGCCAATTTGTTCTCTTTTAAAAAAATAACATACAGGCGGCGATTTTCAGACACCGCAAACGAGTTATGTGATTGCCGACTTGCACCGTCGAAATGCAAATTCTCTATTGGTGTATATTCAGTTCATCCAAAATTTTCTACTGATAACCATCACTCGAACAGACTTTGTCGTACCTGTTTCGATGTTCTCGTATCTTATGAGGACGAATTTGTCTCTTTCAGGCCTGTTTTGCTCATGCATGAACCCTGCCGCATGCATCATCTCATGCATGACTGTGCCTCGAGTTGTAAGGCATCCAGGGCTCTGCAAGTTGACCTGCAAATATCACATTGAGTCACCAATTACCTTTGAAAGGGGAAACGATTAATTAAAAAAATATGAAAGAACTAAAAATAAAAATTATAATGTATCATGCACTTCAGTCAAATATCGCTTAAGAGTAAAACTTGACCAAGTTATGACCTACAATGATTGCAATGTGTGGTTGCAGCATACGCGGATATGTCCATGTAGAAGCAAAATCTCATTTTGTTTGGCGCTATTTTCAGACATTCGTTCGTTAAATTTTTAGGAATTCTCTAGCCAAAGTTTGAAATGCGCCGGTTATCATAAGTACAACAGCTTACTTTAATAAATGGACGTACCAACGATTAAAGGAAGCAGAAAAGGGTGGGAAAGAAGGAGTGTGCTCGTTAGTTGAGGGCCGTAAGAATGAATGTGAATTGTAAAGCGCCAGTGACGTCAGCGGCAACGACGGGGATGCCCACGGACGAGTCGTTTTAACTCATGAGACAGTTACAGAACACCCTTGTCACATGCCCAAGGCTCATGAGTTAGCATAATTTGGCGGTCGGTTCTTTTTAATTTAATGTAAATACCCATATTTTACATTTTTTCAAAAGCAGTCACGCCCACTTTTACATTGTTTTTTATGCAGCTTTCTAGAGCACACCCCATCTTCCCCTCCCGTCTCTAGGATTTTTCACCATTAATACGCCAAAGTGATCTAGTGATCAGACATAGCGACGGCGTAAGTCCGCAATCACAAATCTCGTTTACAGTGTCTTCCGCTTCTATGTTATTTTTTTAAAGGAGGACAAATTGATATCATTCCTTGAAGTTTATGCAGAATTTTCTTCAAACGAAAGAGGATTTTTCAATTTCATTCTTCTTGAGAAAAACAACCTCGGCAGTTTTCCGTTGAGTATTTTTCGGTTCAAAAAATAACGTATGACGGGAAGTCTGCGACGTCGAAAGCCGAGTTATGTGATTGCCGACTTACACCGTCAATAGGTTCTATAAACTTTTCACGAAGTGTTATTCTCATTCAAAATCACTTCACATATTTTAGTTGATAATTCTCTCCACTTAGATTTCAGTCAATAAAACGCCAGTACCTCTTGCCGTCCTCCAATTCGACCGACAGATGACCAGCACCCGGTGTTTCCATTAGTGAAATAAACATAATCAGTGTCATAGCTCGAGCGGGGCACCCATTTTAAACAGGTCAGCCGCTCATAATCAGACATTGCACTCTGTATCATAGCTCTGTCAGTCTGTCCTGTAGAAAACAGATTTTAAAATTGTTCTGTTACATATTTACCTTGCCACCTAATTTTACGCGCAATGGATAGCTAAAAAGCAATGCATCCGAGCTTATAACTTGGGTAAAAATTATTTCGGCAAACACTAAAAAGATCTTTAAAGTACGCGTAAATAATTCAGAGCCGGATTTACCTACTTGCCGCCCAGGGGCCGCCTGTATTTTTCCACCCTCTTCTCATTCGTTTTCAAACATCAATAGATCGTTTTCGATAGCTGTTCGATGCATCGTTCGGCTCAAAACAATAGAACAAAACCTCAAAAAAAACTTTAGGATTTAATTTGGAAAAATTGAAAATGAGAAAATTCCTAACAATTTCACTTTTCATTGCCATTTAGAAAATAAAACTTGAGAAAATAAAAATTCGATCACAAAAGACCCGTTACCTCAGATTTCTAAATTTACTTTTGAGGCTGTGTTCACATATTGAACCAATTGATATCAATATAATCTCACCTGTTTAATCCATCGAATACGATCTACAAAAACCATCGAGTGAACGTGCCAGCGGAGAAGGGGTGTATGAGACGCGTTTACTCGTGCTGGGCACATTTTTGTGAAAGCCCTGTCAGCACTAACAAAAGTTCACGGAACTTCGCGCAAAAGTTAAGTTCCGTAAAGCCATCCCTGTTTTGACAAGGCCTACCATTTATGAAAAACAAACGAGAAAATTATGGAAGAACAAACATAAATGTGGTTAATAATTTTGACATCCGCCGCCGCGCCGACCGCACTGTGTTTGGTGCAATGCGTGAAGTATTCATGCAGTATTGTAGGCGCTATGCTTTTCAAGCCTACTGCTGCTGACCGCAGTGTGTTGGACGCAATACGTGAAGTATTCATGCAGTCTTGTAGGCGCTATGCGTTTCATGCCGACCGCCGCGCCAAGGGCTTCTCCTTTTCATATCAGTCCTCGTCATCATTGATCTCTGCACCGCTTCGCCCCAGATCAAAGTGCGTGTTCGGTTTCTCTCTTAACTTGACTAATTAAAGGTGCTGTCTCTTGTATCGCCGAAAGACGACATGATCAGGAATTAACATACTATTACGCTCAGAAAATGAGAGCTTTTGTCGCCTTTTCTCGTTTGTAATTCATTTTCTGAATCAGATTTTTTTCTTCTTTTTTTTTGATACTTACATTCAAAAAGATTGCAAAATTTGCCGGCCCCTACATTTAGCCGCCATGGGCCGCGGCCCACGTGGCCACCCCCTTAATCTGGCCCTGAAATAGTTTTCTTGCGGCAACTTATTTTGTTTCGTTTTTTCCGCGGCACTTCGCTGCCGTCGGGTGCAACATCTTGACCGCAAAACTGCAAAATCGTGTCTCTCGTTTGCGGCGTTTAAAAATCTACGCGCCCATTTTATTTTATCAGAGAGGAACAAACCCACATATTTGCTTGACATGTTAACAAAAAAACTGTCACATAGAGAAAAAAATCAGAAGAATTTTCTGGGAACCACGTTGATTCTTTTCCCTTTTGAAAAAGAAAATAAGACAAGAAGTCGGCAGCGTCGCAAAACGAGGAACGCATTTTTGCAGTTTTGCTATTAACAAGTTATGAAAAAACAAAGTATACATCAGCGTACGTTCTTAGACGGAACCAGGGGGAGGGGGTAAAGGGGGCGTACGCACTCCTTCGCTTGTATGAAAAAAAGAGGGAGAAAAATGGAACAGAGGAACGGAAGAAGAGGGAGGAACGCTTAGATTTGGTAATTATTCATGAAAAAGTGACTCAAACTGCATTATGGATGCTCCAAAATTTCGAAAATTTGTTGGGAGGAGCCCGCCCCCCGCCCCCGCCCCCGCCCCTTACGTTCCTCCCATTCAAAGTATCTGGATCCGCCTATGCGTATAATGGTAAGCTATTACCTTTGCTACCTGATCCTCACCATGAATTTATTTATTGAACTCTACTCGAGACAAAATATGAATTTTCAGAAGAAAAGCAGGTTGTTAATGTTTGACGATAAAATATAGGGAGCGTTACTTTTGTTTTACTTACTAAAACACTTGCTGATGTACTCACTGAAATAAGGGTTGATTTCGTAAGGGATTACTCCATTAGGCCATCGTGACGTCACTGCGCGGAGTCCATTCCGGCCATCTTGGCGAGGATGAAGGATATCGCCCTCAGCGTAGGTTCCCACTTCCTCAGGGTTAACTCTACTCGAAGCATCCCACTGTTGGAGACGTTCACCTGTAAGCTCCGAGAAGTTTTAATCAATTTCTTTTTAAAGATTGACATTTGATTTTACCTAATTGGACTGAGTTAAGCAGAAAGGAACCAACCCACATTTTGGAAAAAAATTGAGTTATGAGTGGTTTTGAACTCAACCACTGCTCTACTATCTATCGCCAAAAAATCAAAGTTTTTGTTGGAGCAAATTTTGCAGAAATTGAACTTGAAGTTTATCTTTTACATTGCGTCTTATGCAGGACCCAAACTTTAAACCTCTTTTTCTCGGTTCGATCCCGATGTGGCTTGGTCCTTTCTGTTTAACTCCGTCCAATTAGTTTCTTATGGAGAGCATGTATGTAGTCTGGGTGTAGTGTGTGTATGGGCTATAAATGGTAAAGTTAAAAAAGAAAATTAGACGATTGTAAATTTGTAAAGTTATTATAATTGTAAACAAAAGATAATTTACACCTATTTTGGTGGTCGTATCATAAGTTGGGGAAAAAAAACATTGACAATAAATGGCACATCGCTATTCAATATTTGTTGAATTTCAAGATCATTGCACATTATTATTGAAAATGAATGTTTGTGGACACACCTGTGAAAGTTTCGATCAATGAAAAAAAATCAGCAGCCTCTGAATGGCTAAACAACCAGGCCACTTACTTCCGATCTTGTAAATCTTTCTGTATCATTTCCCTTTTCAGATAAGGCTTAATCAATGTTTCCATACAAAATTTCGTTTGATTTTTCTTCGTTTTCTCCAGAATATTCTCCCAGACTTTTGCAGAGAAATGTCGAGTGTGATTATTTTCCCCAAAAATATTTTTTTTCCTTTACGAGGAATGTATAGTACGTGCGGTAATTAGCAGTCATTGCAATCGAGATCTGTGATATGGTATATTACCATCGATGCGAAGGGTGATTCAAAAATTCCATAACACCTCGATAATTGTATCACTAAAATTGACTTATCGAGCTTAAATTTTGAAAATCTTTGCACGTCACAAAAAGCAACTTCACTTTTAGGCCTCAATATCTCAAGAAAGCTTTCCGGAAGAGGACATGAATCCAAACTAGCTTTTAAGCGCTTCTAAAAATAAGACAAACGTAACTAACACAATACAGAAATAGAGCAAAGCAAAGGACGCGCGTTGATTCCGGCGCAAAGATACAACTATTCGTACTTAAGGGACGTCAGTGTTGCATTTGAAAAGTTGAAGGCGCGATAGAGAGAGGCGTGAACTCGCAATGCCCCACTTTTTGCTGCAATAAGGTGTCGCTCGTATTCGGAAGAAAAGTTAAAAAACGAGGCTCTTCCACGTCTCTCTTACCCTCGGCGGACAATGAGTGGGCACTTAATTTTATTCAATTTGATTTCCAATTCCTTTTTAATGATATATTTGTAGATGTATCTCTAAAGCTCGTATGCACCGGCCGCATATAATCAGAGCTGCACTTGTTTCCAGCAAGGCTCGGGTCAATTAGACCCGGCTTGGGCATCTAAAGGTTGAATTAATGTTTAACACACCAGAGAACACAATAATGTTTCTTGATGAATGTGCTCATAAAACGTCCCAGACCTACCTGCTTTTTTATCCGGCTCCCGGAAGAGTCTGTCGCCGAATTTGTAAAGCTCTGTGAGAATATCATCGTCCAGCTGCTCATCGTCGAATTCTTCGTCCATTTCAGACACAGTATTGCCCACCAAGAGTATGGCTGAGAGCACCATGTGCTGTAACAATAACTTCATCTTGTTCGTCTTCGCAGGTACTTGTCCTTGTGGTCTTGAGTTAAACGGAGCACTTTCAACTTTTAGGAGTTTTAATTTTCACTTGCACCTGCACACTTCACTATACTCATCCTATCCAGGCTCTTATAGGAATAATAAATAAAAGTATATAAGAAAATAAATCAAAGCACGAGTTTTATACCCAATCGGTCCGTTAATATCCTAAATCCTGATTTTGCCTTTCCTCAAAATCAGAAGTTTTGAAAGGATCCAGCATTTCCCCGATCGTATGAAGTTCACACGCCTTAAACTAAGCTACATCAAATTATTCTTCATCTGCAATATTTGTCTTCTTTTATTTTTGGTTTACCCTCTTACGTTCACGACATTTTGTAATGCGTGCTTTAAAAAGTAGCAAGCCTTTGCTGGCGAATTGATTTTCTGCAGTTGGCTGAAAACTCAAGATTTTCTTAAAGATAAATAGTGCCTGAAAAAATTAATGCATTAAAATTTAACATCACAAAATTAAACATTAATTAATGAACTGACGATAACGTTTTTGGAGAGATAATGAAAACACCGTGCAGAAATCGTTCACAATAATTCACTGCTCCTTTTAATGTAGTAATGGCACACTTTGAAATCCGTCAAACGGTTTCTGAAAGCTCTCGAAGAAAGACCAATTTCAAGGAGCGAAAGAGTTCTCGATTCGCTCTCAAAAAGTTGTAAGAAGAACTGTCCACCGTTTTAGCGCCGTGTCTCTGATTGGTGTGAATAATTGGTATAAATTAATAGTGTAACGGTTGTTTTAAACCCATTTAGTGGACAACAGTTAGCTTATCTTCAGACATTGTGTACGTCGCGTTTTCTGTTAGATTGCGCGCGGACTGTACAGCGCTTTTATCGTGGGAATAGCCAAAATTGGTGTGAGGTACACAATCATCGTTGTCACATTTTCAATGAAATACCGCCGTCAAGTGTCTCATAAACTAAGGGGTCCGCCCCTTGACCACTTCGTTGTCCAAGCTCCAAGAACGCTTCGCTCCTTACGGACATCATGCGTTGCCGTTACGCGTTACTCATACAAGGAGAAAAAAACTTCGTGCGTGGGACCTGAAGTTTAGGTAATATGGCTCTCTGAAGTTTTCGGATTGAGCATCTGAACACTTTAGATCTAGCTGTCGAGGTTCGGATCACACATCTGAAACTTCAGTTCTTACATCTGAAGTACTTCGGTTTTCAAATCCGAAAAACTTCGGTTCTCACATCCGAAAATCTTCGGTTCTCACATCTGAAGTACTTCAGATGTAAGAACTGATGTGTGATCCGAACCTCGACAGCTAGATCTAAAGTGTTCAAGATGCTCAATCTGAAAACTTCAGAGACCCATATGACCTAAACTTCGGGTCCCACGCACGATGTTTTTTTCTCCATGTATGATTTCATATTATCGATTAAGACGTGCGTCACTAAAATAACGCTAAGTTTATCCTTTACTCATATTTAATAGAGACAAGTATCCCAGCTGCAACAGAAGGGAATTTTGAACTGGGTAAATACCTGTTTCCGATCCTACTTTATCATTTCTATAAGCTTTTTGACCTCCTATTTTGGTTCCCCGTCTATTGTGAAAAAACCAGGCATAGACTAAAGTAATATAATGCGGAAATGAATGTTTTACAAAGACAACAGTGTGCACTCTTTTGAACGGTCATAAAATTCTCCTCGTGATTTATGAGGGAGTTATTTGAATAAGTCGTAAAATCCGTCCTGATTGCATATATAGGTTAGAGAATGAATCCTTAATTCCTGCGACTGATACAATTTTACGGACACTGATATTCGCTTCAAACCACAGTGTGCGCAAAATTCTTGCGCAGAAGTTTTTGTGCTCTTATATATTTGCAGATGGATTCGAACACACTTGCAGAAGTGAACACGGAAAAAAAAGTATCAGGGGTTATCCCCAAAGATTTTTCTACTACCCAAATTTGTTAGATGATATGGACATTTCCAAATAATTTTGGTAGCACCGCAATTCAAATTGGGGTAGTACCGCAACATTTGGGTCGGTAACTTAATTTATCGGGATACTACCACAATTATTCGTCGCCCTCACGACGAAGGGGCGTATCATCAAAATTGGACATTTTGAGTTATGAATGGATCCTTCTTCACCTCAAGCTCCCTTTTCCATTGAGTCTTGTTTGAAAGCTCAACTCTCAATATTAACCGAGTTATTGAGAAAAAACAAATAGGCGTAACATAAGAAAGACCTTTTCTGGGTACGGCGAACGGGCGCATCATAAAGCAAACGCGACTACCTGACCTCTTCTCAATGATACGTCCTCGAAAATCAGGCCCTTTCGGTTCGCGCGACACAATATGCCCGTCACTCACTGATCGGGTGTGTTTCTCAGTTATTGTTTCAGTATTTTCTTATTCCTGCTATAGATTTTAGACCAATCTGGCGGTATTTTTTATATTTGTCGGCGTGTTTTAATGCTACAGCCTAAAGAGCTCTTTATTGTTATTGGTCAGGAAACCTAATTTGTCGGGCGTTTCGGTAAACACGATTCGTATTGTCAGTCGGGATTCTTTGATTTCGATGGCTTTTCGCCTCTTAATTTTGGTTTGACAGGATATTCTGGAAAAAGATCTAAATTGTCCGGGGGTGTATAGACGGTAAATGTCAAAAGATTCTCAACTAGGTCAAGATTTTTTCGGTTTCTATTTACATGCCAATAAACACTTGGTTAGCTCTAATTGTTTTCTTTTGACGACGTATCAATAATGTAATCATGTTTGGTTTTTTTTGTCTTTCACCTACAATTATAATGAGTGTAATTACAATCGACTACTATCGATGTTTGATTTTTTGATTTTTCAGGCATTTTCTTGCTTTATCGTTTAAATAGACATTCATTATTCATATTTAACTTCATTGTTCTAATTGTCCAGACACAGCATTTACCACCTGGCCATCAAGAGTAAGCAAAATGAAGTGTTTTCAATTGAATAAAAGAAAAAATCTTTCCGCCGTTTTGTTCAGATAATGAGATTTCAATATTCAACATATCAAAGCTTTTGGTAAGATTATTGATTTTCAGTGATTAAGGATGACAAAAATACATTTGGAGTGGCAAGGAAAACATTATTTTTAAACACTTCAAGTTGCGAGCTCTTATTGATCAAAAGTAAATGCAGTTAATGAAATGTGACTCGTCGTGTCAGAAATACAATTAAGCATCCTAATGCAGTCAATTTTAACAGTTAACATTATTTCGTCTTTGGCGAATGAAACAAATTATTTTACTTTATCTTTTAAAATGAAATGTCATAGTCTGCCATGAAATTGAAATATTGGCACATCTCTTTGAATTTAAATATTTTTTTTTTCTTAAATTTTATTATCAAGGCATTGTTTTAACTTAAACAGCTGTAAATTAAAGTATGTCAAACTATCAAGAAGGACATAAAATATATACTCTTATGTTCATTACTTCAGTATAGATTCCTTTAAAGTCGTATTAATAAGACACTGCTTTTGAAAATTCTGATTGAATATACGCTCTCTTGATATTTTTCATTTTCATAACCTTTTAGAAATCTCAAAAAGGATGTACCTTAAACCATAGTAAATATACAGAACTGACCACCTAGAAAAATAGCGGAAGAAAAATCAAACTCAAAGAAAAGAAATTCAGTGAAAGAACTAACAAGTTAGGAATGAAATAGGGGAAGATATAGCGCAACAAGATGATACGCCCGCCGAGAGGACGCGGCGGAGCAGCGGAGGTGCCCAATTCAGTGTTCCGCCAACGGGCGTATCAGGACCCTTTTCTAATATTTCAATGATATCAGGGCTGCTAGGCATAATTTTACAAATTCAATGTGATATTTAAAATCCTGATCTTTTTCCGGTGCTGAATGCGAAAAAAAAAATCAGATACGTTAATTAGGGACGTAGCGGCGAAGGAATTAAGTTCTTCAAAATCTTATTTTTGCTCTCCTGAAAAGTAGTCAAAATCTTGATACGCCTCTTCGTCGTGAGGGCGACGAATTAATAGGGATACTACCGCAATTAATCGGGGTATCCGGTATCACCACAATTAATTGGGAATGTCCATATCATCCATCAGTTGGGACTTAACCCCTACCTCTTTTTTTCCGTTGAACAGTTGTTTATCTGTTTTAGAATCCATTTAGTGCCGTATTTTAACTTATTGGATCATTCTAGATTGGAAATAGCTTAAAAACAAGCGGGAAAGTTCTAATACTGTCGTATTAGAAAAGCGCTCAGGTGTTAGTAAATGTATTTAATGAAGAAAGGACGTATAAACTCCGTCGACTTGGCTGGGAAATGGAAAGAAAACATCAGCTGATAGCAAACAAAGGTTACCAAAGAAACCGTAAACGCGTATTTTTGTTTCCCGAAAATGAGCTCACCGTTGAGCTCATCAGGCGCGTTTTTTTTAGGCTTCATTTGAGTTCAACGATCAATTTCGATAAGAATTACTCTACCGCTAAGAAATTTTCTTATAGAAAAACGATCGAAACTACCTGCGCATTACATTAAAAGCATAAAATACAGTTTTCACAGCTTTATTTATTTTAAAAATGGACCCCCCCCCCTAAAAGCCTACACATCGATGAGCTGGTGCGCCATTTAAACGCAGTAGCACTAGTATACTAGTACTCAGAGGCAAGTCGAAATCAAAAAGCGCTGTCTATCGGCTGAGCGCTTAATATTGTACACATTCATCTTGAATCGAGTGTGCAAAAATAGATGCATTCCAGAATGAAATCGTGCATTATGGGGTCAGGAACGCTCATCTTCTTGCCCCTGATAGACACAAGTTCGACGCCTTATCTAACATCTGAGGTAACTCAGTCCTCAAAGGCACGATTCCGTTATTGACATTAGAGGTTATGTATTTTTCCATTTCCAATATCTGTGTAACCGAGAGGGTTTCCGATGGTATACCTAAAAACTGCCAGAACGGCTCAAATGGACTAAA